AGTTACTGCAGAAGGACTATATAAAGCCAGGTGAGTGCTTGTAAAACACAATCACACACCCACAGAGCCGCCCAAAGCACGCAGGCAGGCCGTAAACACACAGTTTCTCAGGGTTAATAAGACGGGTAGGAAAGAAATGCAGGAGCACCTGCACTTTTTTTTTAATGAGGAAAAGGCCAATATTTATGCTCAAATGTCCTTATTGTTTGATACACATCTTTTTATTAAAATAAATTAATACATAATTGATGCAGCATATATAGGGTGGCCATAAAGTGTGCCTTGGTTTGAGTCTCTCTCTCCCTCTATCTATCTATATATATATTTTTGCAGTTTTTGGCTAGGGCTGGCTTCGACCCTGCCACCACTGGTATATGGGGCCGGCCCTGAGCCATAGGTACCACCCTGGGTCATTATTTTATTTTATAACCTGATAGTACAAACTCAAGGGAAAACCCCCCCCTTTTTTTTTTTTTTAGAGACAGAGTTTCACTTTATCGCCCTCGGTAGAGTGCTGTGGTGTCACAGGTCACAGCAACCTCCAACTCCTGGGCTTAGGCGATTGATTCTCTTGCCTCAGTCTCCTGAGTAGCTGGCACTACCGGCACCCCGCCACAATGCCTGGCTATTTTTTTGTTGCAGTTTGGTCAAGGCCAAGGTTTGAACCCACCACCCTTGGTATATGGGGCCAGCGCCCTACCCACTGAGCCACAGGCGCCGCCCTGGGGTTTTCACTCTTGCTCAGGCTGATCTCACCTCCTAACCTCAAGCAATCCACCTGTCTCAGCCTCCCAGAGTGCTGGGATTACAGGGGTGAGCCACTGTGCCCAGACAGATATTTTCTGTTTTTTAAATTCCTCAATTCTGATACTATTTGAGTGTTAAGCTTCACTTTGTTAAAAATAGGTCCCTATATCATTAAGCCTCTGGAACCCTTATTCATTAACATTCCAAACTTCTGAACAGGTTATTTCAAATGAATTCAATGTAGCGTGTAAGGCTGTCCATACTTCGGTAGCACCAGATTGTACCCCTTAAGGCAGCAAAAGGAGTTCACCCGAGGTCACGTTTCAGATAATCACTATAAAAAGTAAAGTGTGACTTGTGTGGAACATAAAGCCTAGATTTATTACTGCTTTTCCTTATTAGCACTAGTGAAATCCCAGCATACATAGTAGCCTTTTGATGTAATGAATCCCTAGTGTCATTGTCTTATTCTTAATATTAGTTGGCTGTCATTTAAAGTGAGTTTTAGAAAAGTGTTTTTTTTTTTTTTTTTTTTTTTTTTTTTTGAGACAGAGCCTCAAGCTGTCCCCCTGGGTAGAGTGCCGTGGCATCACAGCTCACAGCAACCTCCAACTCCTGGGCTCAAGCGAGTCTCCTGCCTCAGCCTCCCAAGTAGCTGGGACCACAGGCGCCCGCCACAACGCCCGGCTATTTTTTGGTTGCAGCCGTCATTGTTGTTTGGCGGGTCCGGGCTGGGGATTCGAACCCGCCACCTTAGGTGTACGTGGCTGGCGCCATAGCCGGTTGAGCTATAGGCGCCGAGCCTAGAAAAGTGTTTTTCTTAGAGATTGGCTAAAACAGGCAGTGATGAAAACCAATATTTATTGATCATGAGTGCTTTACATATCTTACCTCATTTAAATAAAATGAAAATTCAATTAGTTTATTATTACAGGTCCGTAATCCCTTACCCAGAACTCTTAGAGCCAGATGATTTCAGAAAGGTGCTTAACATTACCTTAGATGTTTAGCAAAGTCTGGAGCAGTACCCTATAATCAGCCACATTTACATATCTGTAGGGAAACCTATGATATTTACACAAAATGGGATAGATCTAGAGAGTTTGACTTATACATGCGAAAAAATATTTATAAACCATTTTGAGAACTTTTTGCATTTTTGAATTGTGGATAAGATACTATGACCTTAGAAGAGTTAAGTCACTCGGCAAAGGTCACATAGTTAGCAAGGAATGGTGGCAGGATAAAACCAAGTATTAAAACCCCACTACACCAAGCTAGCTCAGAAGTATGGAATATGCTGTCTCTAGTGTATAGTCAGTGCCCAGTAACAGTAGAAATTGCAAGCTTAATTCTACAGGTAGGAAGAAGCAAAAAGAAAACCTTTAGTTTCAGCCATTTAGAGTTGCGGTTTTCATTAGCACTAACGATCTGGATGTTTTCTTCTTTTCTTTTAAAGTGTCTTGGTGACTCATACAGATGCAGTAAAAATTTCAGATTTTGGTACATCTAAGGAACTCAGTGATAAAAGTACCAAGATGTCCTTTGCTGGCACAGTTGCATGGATGGCACCAGAGGTGATACGGAACGAGCCTGTCTCTGAAAAGGTTGATATATGGTGAGTGGCAACATGTGTGCCAACTAGAATGCCTTTTCCCACTTTCCCCATATCTGTACTTCTTCCTTCCTTCAACCCTTTTACTTTCCAAGAATATTCTCTAATGTTGCTCACTTCTCGTCTATTTCAGCCTCATATTATCTGGGGAACGACCCAGTGTAATGATACATGGCAAGAAGGATTAGGAGGGGAATTAGGGTGCATAGCCAGTCAGTAAGTCATCAGTTTGGGGAACCCTCAAAGAATATGCTGAACTTCCTAGAAAACTGAAAGCTTACGTCAAATGACCATTTAGTATAGAAGTGTTTCTAAAATGTATTATATAATTCTCACTTTTTTCAGTAAAATACATTAAACAGCAGTTAATGACCCAGGTCATCATGGCACATATTAGGGATGTACTTTGCTGTGATGGTCATGTGCTCTAGACCTATTTGACAGGCATAGGTTATTTGCCCTTTTATTGAACAGCCCCTACAGGGTATGATTTTTTTAAAAAAAACTTTATCAATATTTCCTCTGAGATTATAAATCGTTACTACATGTATTAACAATATTTTTCCCTGTATTTGCTTTTCTTTTATCTTTAAATTGGTGACTACTAACTTTTAGGCATAAAACGAAAATAAATGCATATGTTAAAATTGTGTGTAATACCCAGAGTAAACATAATACAGTAAAATGTGGGATCATTTGTAATTTGGGTAATTATGACTAAAGTGTCCTCCTTAGGGATTATACCAATTTATGTTCTCCCCAGAAATGCGTAAGAATGTTCCCTCAGTCTCACCAACAAAATGTGCTACACTTTTGGATTTTTGCCAATCATACAAACCGACCTTCATTTCAGCAGGTAAAAAAATGATATCTTGAGTGTAGTTTTAATTTTCATTCTTCTTACTGTAAGTTTGTTTATACATTTTCATATTTTTCGGAGCCAGTTGTAACTTATTTGTGAACTATTCATATTCTTTGCTTAGCTTTCTGGTCTTTATTCTTGTCAAATTATAGAGTATTTTATATATTAAGGAGATTATTAGCCTTTTGTGTAAATTGTAGGTACTTTTCACATTTTGTTATTTTGCTTATGGTATTTTTTCATGCCAGATTTTTTTTAATGCAGTTTAATTTCTTAGTCTCTCCTTTTATAGCTTCTATTTCATAGTTGTAAAAGCTTTCATTTCAAAACAAGTAACAGGTTCCTTAAAAAATAAAATAAAACAAAAGCCTCCATCACTCCAAGATTTTTTTTTTTTTTTAATTTCCCCATGTTTTCTTTTTTTTTTTTTGGCCGGGGCTGAATTTGAACCTGCCACTTCCGGCATATGGGGCCAGCACCCTACTCCTTTGAGCCACATGCACCCCTAATGTTTTCTTTCAGGATTTTTATGATATCATTTTCACTTAAATCTTTGATCCATTTGGAATTTATCTTGATATATGGTGAAGTATAGATTGAATTATTTTGCCCAATTGTCCCAACAACATATATTGACTAATCATTTTTTCTCCACTGAGTTGTGATGCCATTTCTACCATATATTAATTCCTGTATGCATTTGGTCTCCTTATGGATTTCTAGTCTAGTCTAATAGTCTGGCTATCTACTTATACACCAAAGTTATTTACTGAGGCCTTTTAATATCTGGTAATATTGGTTACCCCACTGTGATTTTCTCTTTCTGAGTTTTCCTGGCTGTTTCTGTTTTCCTTATAGCCTTATTAGAATTCTAAAACTGATGTCCAAATGAGATCTAAAGAGGTCAAACTGTGGCTCTTCACTGATGATATGATCTTACACCCAGAAAACCCCAAGGACTCAACTATGAGACTCCTGGAATTAATAGAGAAATACAGCAGTGGCTCAGGATATAAAATCAATGTCCATAAATCAGTAGCCTTCGTATACACCAGCAGTTGTCAAGCTGAGAATCAAATCAAAGACACAATACCCTTCACGATAGCATCAAAGAAAATGAAATGCCTTAGAATGTATTTAACAAAGGATCTCCCGAGAGAACTGTGAAACACTGAGAAAAGAAATTGCAGAGGATGTTAACAGATGGAGGAACATATCATGCTCATGGCTTGGAAGAATCAACATTCTTAAAATGTCTGTACTACCCAAAGCAATCCATAGATGTGACGCAATACTCATTAAAATACCAACATCATACTTTTTTTTTGAGACAGAGCCTCAAGCTATCCCCCTGGGTAGAGTGCTATGGCATCATAGCTCACAGCAACCTCCAACTCCTGGGCTCAAGCGAGTCTCCTGCCTCCACCACCCAAATAGCTGGGACCACAGGCACCTGCCACAACAGCCTGGCTATTTTTTGGTTACAGCCATCATTGTTGTTTGGCAGGCCTGGGCTGGATTCAAATCTGCCACCTTAGGTGTATGTGGCTGGTGCCTTAGCCATTTGAGCCATAGGCACTGAGCCCAACATCTTTTTTTTTTTTTTTTTTTTTTTTTGAGACAGAGCCTCAAGCTGTCACCCTGAGTAGAGTGCCATGGCTTCACTGCTCACAGCAACCTCCAACTCCTGGGCTCAAGTGAGTCTCCTGCCTCAGCCTCCCAAGTAGCTGGGACCATAGGCGCCCGCCACAACGCCTGGCTATTTTTTGGTTGCAGCCATTATTGTTGTTTGGCAGGTCCGGGCTGGATTCGAACCCGCCACCTTAGGTGTATGTGGCTGGCGCCTTAGCCACTTGAGCCACAGGCGCCGAGCCATTTTTTTTTTTCCAACATCATACTTTAAATAACTTGAGGAAATAGTTCTACATTTCATCTGGAACCAAAAAAAAAACCCAAATAGCCAACCTAATTCTATTATATAAGAACAAATGTGTAGGCATCACTTTACCAGACTTCCAGCTATACTACAAGTATATAGTGATCAGAACAGCATAGTATTGGCATAACAATAGAGACATAGATCTATGAAACAGAACAGAGAATTAGAGATGAAACCAGCCTCATATCACCACCTGATCTTTGACAAAGCAAAAAAAAAACAAGAAAAAAGCATATACTGGGAAAAAGAATCCCTATTCAATAAATAGTGCTGGGAGAACTTATTGGACACATGTAAAAGATTGAAACTGGATCCACTCCTCTCACCACCTACCAGAAATTAACTCTAGTTAGTTAACTTAGTTAACTTAGTTAAAATCTAAGACATGAAACTATAAGAAGAAAGTGGGGGAATAACTCTGAATCTTATCAGCCTAGATGAAGAATTTATGAAGACATCCACTGGCAACTGCAGCAACAACAAAAATAAATAAATGGGACCTGACCAAGTTTAAAAGCTTCTACTCAGCCAAGGACACAATCAAAGCAAAGAGACAGTCCACAGAATGGGAAAAGATATTTGCATGCTGCAAATTCAGCAGAGGACTTAATAACCAGAATCTACGAGAAACTCAAGCAAATCAACAAGAAAAGATCAATTGGCTCCATTAAAAAATTGGGCAAGAAATGAACAGATACTTTTCTCATGAGGGCAGACAAATAGCCAACAAACACATGAAAAAATGCTCATCAGAGAAATGCAAATCAAAACCACTTTGAGATATCACCTGACCCCATGAGAAAGGCCCACATCAGAAGGTCCCAAAACAACAGATACTGGTGTGAGTGTTGAGTGACTGCAAACTTGTACAGCCTCTGTGGAAGGGAGTATAGAAATGCCTTAAAGAGCTAAAAGTAGACCTGCCATTCCATCCTCACTTAGCAATCTCTTTACTAAATATCTACCCAAATGAAAAAACATCATTTTACTATAAGGACATTTGCACTTGAATGTTTATAGCAGCCCAATTCACAGCAACAAAGATGTGGAAACAACTCAGGTGCCCTTCAACCCATGAATAGATTAATAAGCTGTTGTGTTGTATATGTAGCATGGAATACCATTCAGCCAGAAAAAGATGGTGATTTCACATCTTTTATAATAACCTGGATGGATTTAGAGAATACTCTCCTTAACAAACCATCACAAGAATGGAAAAACAAGCACCACAAGTACTCAGTACTTAATTAAAACGAGTAGATTAATACTACATGCTCATGTGAGAGAGAAACTCAGTTAAATTCAAGTAAGCAGGGTAGGGGGAAAGGGTTGGGTAAATTCCCACCCAATAGGTACACTGCACAGGTATATCACACACTTCCTGGGCACAGCTACAACCCAGACTTAACTTTACAAAAGCAAACTATGTAACCTAATCATATGTACCCCCATGTTAATCTGAAATTAAAAAAAGAACTTAAAAATTTGGTATATGTATTAATTTGATTAAAATCAATAAAGAACTAAAATGCAAGTCGATCTTTCTGAACTGTCTTCTGTACATGTTTCTTGTACTACTACTGTAGGTCTTTTGGAGTCGTCCTTTGGGAGCTGCTGACGGGAGAGATCCCTTACAAAGATGTAGATTCTTCAGCCATAATTTGGGGCGTTGGAAGCAATAGCCTACACCTTCCAGTTCCTTCCACTTGCCCTGATGGATTCAAAATCCTCATGAAACAGACGTGGTAAGAATATTGTCTCTAGAGCAGCAGAGCAATCTCTAATGTACATTTGGAGTGAATGTCCTAGTAATGGAAAAATCTGGGAGCCCTGGAGTTTAAGAATCTTGGGTACAGATACCAGCTCTTCTGCCCTGTTCTCTCTGTGCAATTTTGGACATGTCATCAAGTATCAGTTTTTTCATCTGTAAAATAGAGAAAACACTATATTTGTAGAATTTTGAAATTAATTAAAATTTATAAATAATTTGGGGCGGCGCCTGTGGCTCAGTGAGTAGGGCACCAACCCCGTATACCAAGAGTGGCGGGTT